GGATCTCTTATTCCTACTTTGAAGTAGGAATAAGAGATCCTCCGGAATAGGGCTTTATTCCGGAGGATCGGGCCAGTCTAGACGCTCTTTTCCGGCTTTTCTACAAGCCGGAAAAAAGCAGGGGACATCTTTATTTAAATCCCGTGGGGGATATTTAAATCCCCCGCGGATTTCCCTATTACGAAGTTTAAAATTAGCATGCCCCTTTCGGAAAAGGGGCCAGTGTAGACGTAGCCATAGTGTCTCTTTATTAGTCTATATGTTATACTTTATTCACAGTGTTTTAATAGCTGTGTTTGTCCCAGGATATTAGAGAGACAAGGTGGGTGAGATAATATCGTTTATTGGGCTAATTTTTGTGAGTGAAAGAAACAAGCTTTCAAACTACATAAATCAGAAGAAGAGCTCTAGGTGGTTCATATTGTTTTTCTTTGCTATTTCTACAATGTTTTTTTATATGTTCATTCACTTAAAAAATAGATAATGTCTAGAACAGGTCAAAATATTTCATCTGAAATGTTAAAATAAAAAGTGATACATTTTTAAACTGAGAAAATTCATTTTTTTAAAAACCAGTGTTTTATGAAAATTAAGAATTTTAAAATTTAGAATTTTGTTTTTCCTTTTTCTCCCTCCCTTTTCTTGTTAGCCACTGAATGCAACAGAATTAATCATGTCCAGGATAGTTCCTTAATTTACTTTTTCTTTAGTCTTTTCCCCTTTATTTTTCCAAAGCAAAGGAAGTTTTGAAAAGTGACAGTGGCATAACAACAACAACAACAACAACAATAATAATAGAAACTAACTCTGACACTCTCCTAAAGCTGGAGAAATTTTGAAAAGTTACAGAACAGAAAAAAAAAGAAAGTGATTGGATCTAATTAATTTTACCACTCTTTGTTGAGTGAGAGAGAGAGAGAGAGGAGGGTAAACACAAAAGATTTTAAAAATGAATTTTTGTTAAAAATATTTTACAATTTTTTGACAAAGCAAAAAATGTTTCCATGTCAGATTCTGCAATACTGGAACAAAGTTGAAATTCTAAAATTTCTTTGTGAAATTATTTATTTTTCCATTTTTTCTAATACTGAAACCTAGAACTATATTCCAATTTCTTTCATTCTTTCTTGCTGTTATAATTTATTCCAAGCAAATATACTATGCACTGCAGGACTTGTACATTTCATTAAAAGAGTATGTCTTTCTGTATCAGCTCTTTTACCTCTCCTCTGATAGGATCTGGGCTGCTGACAACAGCTGATTCGGCAACTGCTGGGTGCTCTATCAAGGCACTTTCTACTTCAAAGGGTCCAATACGATATCTAAAAGAGAGCATACGCATGAAACGACTGATCCTTTCATGAAAAAGTTTATTTTAATTGTATTTTGCGATACTAAGTGCAACACTGAAAGAGAAACCAGCAAACCTACCAGTAATGTACCTACCCTGAAGAATTAATGATATCGTCAGCCCTTCCAACAAACCAAAAGTGTTCTTCTTCATCCATTCTGCCTCTGTCCCCAGTGATATAAAAATTTCCACGCTCTGTGGAGGCAGTTTTCTCTGGGTTGTCCTGACAATAATCAAACAACATTTCACAAACCTGAACTGATCAAATCTTAACTGATTGTTAGTGAAGTGTAATCCATTCATCTTGCTACAGTGCACTGAAATAAAACATGATCAGGACAGCACCAACATATGTTTCCAAGACCAGTGTATTTCACATAATATTAGGATTTAAATTTAAAAATAGAGCCATGCTGATTAGCAATTCCAGCTGTAGAAATATAGTATGCCTCCGAAAAAAGTGGGGTGGGGTCTTGGGCAGAAGGGGCGGGGCTGGGACAGTCAGTCCTCAGTGCTGCCCAGACGGGAGCAGTGGGCCCCCTCTCTAGCCCTCAAAGCCATGTGGCGCTCCTGGCTTGGTGCTCCGGTGGCAATTCAAAGTGGCCCATGCCTCCAGCTTCTGCCACTACTGCAGTAGCACTGTCCCCAGGACAATTGCCCCCTTTGTCCCTCCCTGTCAGCAGGCCTGACTTCAAGGAGGATGTGCATGAGTACAGAAGTAGTTACCCTCCAGAAGGGTCTAGCCACAGAGAAAGAAAACAGCACACATACTACAAGCCTGTTATACTAGCTCTAAACTATGAAACATCCCCATTGGTGTAGTCATGTTGGGGTGCATATGCTGCTACCATTTAGAAGACAAAATGATCTCCAGTGCATTGAGATTTCCATGCTGTTGTTTCCATAGTGATATTTAGCTGAGATCACATACACTTCCTTACGTGAGATGACATCTTCAATAGAGGGCAGTAGCAGGACATAAAGACCACACATTCAACATATAGCCAGAACACGTGATGTATATTCTGCAGCAAAATCATGGATAGCTTGCATGGGTGCAGGGGAATATGACACCTCTGTATGTCCAAGGGCAGCCAGTAGTGGGGCAGAGTAGCCTCAATAGGGATATTACATCATTCTGCATCCCTGATGGTGAGTGGGAGGCACTGACCATACAGACCAACCAAGCTGTGTAGGGGTAACAAGAGGTGTATGCTGTGCCAGATATAGATCTGGAGTAGTGTGCTGCCTGTCCCACCTCGTAGCAAAGAGGAAATTGTGAGGTGGAATGGGATGGGTTTTGGGTATGTCTACACTGCAGTAAAACACCTGCAGCTGGCTCATGTCAGCTGATTTGAGCTTGGGCTATTGGATGTACAATTAGTATAGATGTTCGGGGTAAGGTTGGAGTCTGGGTTCTGGGATCCTTTCCCCTATCTATATTATAATTAAACAGCCCCATAACCTGAGCATGGGGTGTGTAAGTCAGCTCAGAAGGGCCAGCTGTGGGTGTTTAACTGCAGATAGACCTATACTGAGAGATCTTGTAACATGTTGGGGAAAATCCTGGCCCCAAACAAGTAAAAGGACATTTTGCCATTGTCATCAATAGAGTCAGGATTTCACCTATGGACTTCTCAATACTTCTGATAAGTGACATGAAGCTTTCCAGAATATAAGAAGTTTCCTTACTAAGTAGCAAGAGAAAAGACAAAATGGCCTTGTAGGTTTGATTCGGATGGCGATGTTTCCTTCTTCTCCTCGAGGCAAAATATTTCCCCAATCATCTACAACCTGTAGGAAATGAAAACATGATTGTTTTAACTGATCCAATGTATAGAATCACAGAATCATAGAACTCTAGAATTGGAAGGGACCTTAAGAGATCATCGAGACCAGTCCCCTGCCCTCATGGCAGAACCAAGTACCATCTAGGTCATCCCTGATAGATGTCTGTCTAACTTGCTCTTAAATCTCTCCAGTGATGGAGATTCCACAACCCCTTTTGGCAATTTATTCCAGTGTTTAACCACTTCCAGTTAGGAAGTTTCTCCTGATATCCAACTTAAACCTCCCTTGCTGAAATTTAAGCCCATTGCTTCTTCTCCTATCCTCAGAGGACAAGGAGAACAATTTTTCTCACTCCTCCTTGCAACACCCTTTAGATACTTGAAAACCGCTATCATGTTCCTTCTCAGTCTTCTCTTTTCTTAACTAAACATGCCCAGTTCTTTCAGTTTTCCCTCATAGGTCATGTTTTCTAGACCATTAATCATTTTTGTTGCTCTTCTCTGGTCCTTCTCCAATTTCTCCACATCTTTCTTGAAATGTGGTGTCCAGAACTAGACATGATACTCCAGCTGAGGCCTAATCAGCACAGAGTAAAGTGGAAGAATGACTTTTTGTGTCTTCCTCACAACACTCCTATTAATGCATCCCAGAATCATGTTTACTTTTTTTGCAACAGTGTCACATTGTTGACTCATGTTTAACTTGTCATCCACTATGACCTCTAAAACCCTTTTAGCAGTACTCCTTCCTAGACAATCACTTCCCATTCTGTGCGTGTGAAATGGATTGTTCCTTCCTAAGTGGATTACTTTGCATTTGTCCTTATTGAACTTCATGCTATTTACCTCAAACCATTTCTCTAGTTTGTCCAGATTATTTTGAATTTTGACCCTATCCTCCAAAGCAGTTGCAACCTCTCCCAGCTTGGTATCATCTGCAAACTCAATAATCATACTCTCTATGTCATCATCGAAATCATTGATGAAAGATATTGAATGGAACCTGCCCCAAAACAGACCCCTGTAGAACCCCACTTGTTATGCCCTTCCTGCATAATTGTGATCCATTAATAACTACTCTCTGAGAACAGTTATCCAGCCAGCATGTAACACAATTTCTTTACTGGTCACAGCTCTAATATGGGGGACGTGGATGAGAACACCAACCAGCAGTTTTTAACTCTTTTCCTCTCAGATTTCAGATTGAGTTTACTCAGCCAGGAAAATGTAGCCACATACCTGAACATCATAAGGAGGAGATGCCTTTCCCATAGATCCCGGTTTGATTTTCATTCCTTTCACATTGGCACATATTGTGACCTGAATAAAATAAGATTTTTTATTTGTGCAACATAGCAGTGTTCTTGGTGGTTTTAATCTAGCTGACAATGTTCACGTGACAGCTTTAGAGAGGCAAGTCCATGTCACCTCTTCTGAGGGTTTGCATGAGGAGGAAACAAAATTGCCAAGAGATATACAATCTTTGTGTTTCCCCAAACCCACACACAGCTGGAGAGGCCAGCTGATAGGTCAGCATTGGAATCAAGAGGCATAATCCAACTCCACACATTTCAGTGCATCTTTACCACCTCCACTATGCTTCTCCTTTGCTGAGAATGCTTGTGTACTTGGCTGGCTATGTGGGTGGTTCTGTGGACACACGTCTACTTTCCAGAAAAGAGATGTAATGGGACCTTGGTCTTGTAGCATTATTTTGTGTCCAGTCTGAGGGTTCAATTAAAGAAGGGTTGAATTTGGCCTTTGGTGGCTTTCTTATATTCAGCAACTAAATATCTATATACGCATATCTAACTGTGAAGTTGGTTTTATGTTTTCTATTGCAATTCCAAGCATGGCACATGGATTTTGGTAGTTAATTATGTAAGCAGGGTCTGAATCAATGCTTCCATTATAGACAGCTGAAATGGTTATGTAAAAACAGTTCACTCAATTTGCTTAGGCCTGCTAGATATTCAACTGTTAGAAGGTGTTTTGCCCATTGTAACCAATTTGGCTGTTGTAGGGTCACAAACTGTGTTAACACTAAATGCAGAAAATGAAAGATATGACCACCAATGCTTGCAGTTATTGAGGGAAGGCAGAAAAGTCAGACTGTGTTTAACTCAGTTCAAAGGAAAGACCCTGTCAGTGTAAATACACTTGAATGGACAGAGGCTCATCTTCTAGATCCTAAATTAAGCTGGAGAGGGAGGTGAGCCAGCAGGCTGCATGCCCTCCAAGCATGAACTGTAAGACAGGTTCAACCTGTTTCTCCCCATTGTTTCAATGCTAGAGTTAAAGAAAGGCTCCTTAAGGTGTCTCTTTTGTATGTAAATTTATTCCAGTGGATGCTGGAATCTCTTGTGGCTGGTCTGGGCTTTAGGCTAAGAGCTGAAATCACTAGGTTTGGCCCAGAGCCAAATTCACCACAAGTCAGCGGAAGATGCAATGAGCAGCCAGGAGAGTGGCAATGGAAAGGCAGTGGCAGCGAGAGGCAACAAATGGCCAGCAGAGTGGCGCCAGAGGACAGTGAGCAGGTGGATGGTGAGGCTATGTCTACACTGCCAAGAAAAGTTGGGAAAAGATACACAGATTGCAAACCACAATTTGCATATCTTTTCTGCTTTTTTTCCCCCCAAAGAGGCTTTTCTGAAATTTGACCTGTCTACGCAGGGCCAAATTTCAGAAAAAAACCTCCTCTTTTAGAACATCCCTTATTCTTCTCACCGAGAGGAATACAGGGATGCTGAAAGAACACATCTGCTTTTTTGGAAACTGTTCCGAAAAAGCGGATGCTTTCCTTGGATGTGGCAGAGCGGTATCCCGGAAAAGCTCTACAGTCTAGAAATAGCCCAAGTGACCAGCGGAGTGGGTGAGATGCCTACTACTCCTCCCTTTCCAACACAGGATGGAAGGTGAACTGTTCAGATCACCTCTGAGCTCTGGTCTGCCCTGACCAAGGACAGCGATGGTGAGTGGGGTGCAGAGAAGGACTGGGCATGTGAAAGGGACACTTACATTGCTGGGCTTTAGAGCTTGAGAGGAAAAGGACATTGCCCAACCTACCTGAGTGGTTTTGGTTATGAACTCCGTTTGTGGTGTTTTCCCAAATTAATGCCACGTTACATCCCTCCCCTTTTATTAAAAGTTTCCTTTCCACACACAGGCTATGTCTACACTACAAAGAAAAGTCAGAAAAAGATACACAAGTTCCGAAACCCAATTTGCATATCTTTTCCAGTTTTTCTTCTGAAAGAGCCTTTTCCGACATGTGGCCCATCTATACGGTGCCAAATGTTTGGAAAAAACCCTCTTTTGGAACATCCCTTCTTCCTCATAGAATGAAGTTTATAAGGATGATGAAAAAATGCATCTACTTTCCGAAAAGCATCTGTGTTCCTTGGACAGAGCAGAGCTTTTCTGGGGTACCTCTGGTAGCTTGGAAAAGCTCTGCAGTGTAGACATAGCCTCAGACTCTGTGTTTGTGACTCGGGAAGCATTGCTTCCCAGAAGCACCCAGGAGTATTGTGTGAATTTCCCAGGTGACAGGGTGGGGGCTTGAGACAGTTCTGTGATGGATGGATGGAGTGGAACCCCTAGATATTGAACCCAGCCATGGCTACTGCTGATGCTACATGGCAGAAGGGTTACAATTACTTGTAGGTTCTCTTTCTCAAAGCATTGTTCCAGTTCAGCCACAAGATACTGGGCTTTAACTAAAAATCCTTAGGTGAAATTCTGTGGTGTGTTTTGCAGGGAAGGGGTCAGACTTGATAATGAAAATGGAGCATTCAGGCTTTAAAGTCTGTAAGTCTTGTTACATTGATTGCATAAAAACTCAGTATCTAATATACCTTTAAAAGTGGTGAGGAGTCTTGTGGCACCTTATAGACTAACTGAAGTGTAGGAGCATAAGCTTTCGTGGGCAAAGACCCACTTTGTCAGATGCATGTATCTGACGAAGCGGGTCTTTGCCCACGAAAGCTTATGCTCCTACACTTCAGTTAGTCTATAAGGTGCCACAAGACTCCTCACCACTTTTAAAGGTATATTAGATACTGAGTTTTTATGCAATCAATGTAACAAGACTTACAGACTTTAAAGCCTGAATGCTCCATTTTCATTATCAAGTCTGACCCCTTCCCTGCAAAACACACCACAGAATTTCACCTAAGGATTTTTAGTTAAAGCCCAGTATCTTGTGGCTGAACTGGAACAATGCTTTGAGAAAGAGAACCTACAAGTAATTGTAACCCTTCTGCCATGTAGCATCAGCAGTAGCCATGGCTGGGTTCAATATCTAGGGGTTCCACTCCATCCATCCATCACAGAACTGTCTCAAGCCCCCACCCTGTCACCTGGGAAATTCACACAATACTCCTGGGTGCTTCTGGGAAGCAATGCTTCCCGAGTCACAAACACAGAGTCTGAGGCTATGTCTACACTGCAGAGCTTTTCCAAGCTACCAGAGGTACCCCAGAAAAGCTCTGCTCTGTCCAAGGAACACAGATGCTTTTCGGAAAGTAGATGCATTTTTTCATCATCCTTATAAACTTCATTCTATGAGGAAGAAGGGATGTTCCAAAAGAGGGTTTTTTCCAAACATTTGGCACCGTATAGATGGGCCACATGTCGGAAAAGGCTCTTTCAGAAGAAAAACTGGAAAAGATATGCAAATTGGGTTTCGGAACTTGTGTATCTTTTTCTGACTTTTCTTTGTAGTGTAGACATAGCCTGTGTGTGGAAAGGAAACTTTTAATAAAAGGGGAGGGATGTAACGTGGCATTAATTTGGGAAAACACCACAAACGGAGTTCATAACCAAAACCACTCAGGTAGGTTGGGCAATGTCCTTTTCCTCTCAAGCTCTAAAGCCCAGCAATGTAAGTGTCCCTTTCACATGCCCAGTCCTTCTCTGCACCCCACTCACCATCGCTGTCCTTGGTCAGGGCAGACCAGAGTATGCTCCTACACTTCAGTTAGTCTATAAGGTGCCACAGGACTCATTGCTGCTTTTACAGATTCAGACTAACACGGCTACCCCTCTGATACTTAATATACCTTTAGCTTCCTTAACAACTGTGAACTATGTAAATTCCCCTCTCTTTCCCACCGTTTGCGAAGCGTACCATGCCCATGCCAAGTTACTTTGTTAGAGATTATCCCGTGATAATTAATGCAAACATACTGTTTCTGTCTGGCCATAGCCTTCATAGATATCTAGACCTGTTTGGGTTTTCCATTGCTCCATCACTTCTGGATTGAGTGGCTCCCCTCCAGTCACACAGTGACGCAGACTCATGAACTTGTAACTTGAGAGGAACAGAAATCAATAAGAATCAATAATCCTACAGTTTTCAAAGTACCACAGATGTCTTTAGCTAGTCAACCTCCCTCAACTTTAAACTGTTTACATGTGCCTCCAATCTCATGCCATTTCGGAAAATTTAAATAATCATCATGCTGTAGAAAATTGTACTTAGACTCTTAGATCATCTTAGGTCTTGATCCCATTTCCAGTGAAGTCAACTCAAAGCTTCCATTTGCTTCAATGGTACCTGGATGGGAATCCTTTCCAAGTAAAATCTTAATGGAGATCAACAGAAAAGAAAGAGCAGCTGTTTCTTGGAAGAGATAACTTAAGAAAACACAGATGATCTCAGCTAACTTATACTACTGAACAAACACACTATGACAGTGGAGAAGAACAGAGGGTTTGTATGTCTGTGCTCAGAAAAGTAACCCACTGGTACCAAGATCTTACACCATTGTGTGGCTTGTTCTATATTCCAAAGCCAAAGAAGTGCAGATAAAATGTATTTCCTAGAAACAATGGGATTTAGAGGCTGCAGATTCACTTTGATTCACTTCCAAGACAAGAGTCAACTGTGACAGGACTAAAACATGTATCTAAGAACTGCTCTTCATGTTACAAGACTGCAGAATGTGAGGATCAGCTCTGAACAAATTGCATTTGTTATCCAGTATGTAACAACTGCTGAGAAGAGACATACACTATGTAAATCTGAGCTGAATATTTCTAGAGAATAGCATGTAACTGGGTACAACTCCCAAATAAATATCAGTTTATGAGTGGACCATTTTTAAATGCTCATTTAATTAAAAAAAAAATTTGGTACCAGAGTACCAGGTGAAAGTAACCCTCTGCTCTGAGCCACCCCCCAGCCCTGACTCCTACAGCCCCCCCCCCATGCACACCCAGCCCCTGTCCTGAGCCCTTCCTTTCACTCCTCTATCCCTGCCCTCTGCACCCTCCCACACCCAGCCCCTTGCTCTGAGCCCCCATGCCCAAAGCCCCTCCCTCAACTTCTGCACCACCCCACATCCCCACCCCCTGCCCTGAGCACCCTTCACTCCACTCCACGTTTAAATTTCTTACACATGCTGTTGTACTGCAACTCCCAACCCACTGCCCTGCCCCCCGGGAAGGTGTGATACAAGAGTACCTGTAAGAAATGTTAGTTACTTTCACCTCTGTATGGTACCTAATTTGCTGGCCCTTAAATGGGTATAACTCTCATTCAGTGTTGCCTAAAACTTGATTTTATCTTGCCTCAAGATACCTCTGGGCCTTAAAACAAACTCATGTATGAAGGCAGCTTCACTTGCCCGAACTGGTTTGTTCCTCCTTATTGTATATCCAAAGATCTTCTTCTGTATTGCACAGGAACGGAATAGGTAGGGCTTTTATTGGCGCTAGGATACCAGCACATTTTCTCTCATTAGATTGACCTCGTAAGAAGGGTCCATTTAAAGCAGAAAATAAAGTGAAAACAATATAGTGAACCAAATGATGAGACCTGACTTGTCACTAAAAATGTTTCCTTTTCTATTACAAGTCAGAAGATGTATGGTACCTGGTAAGGCCATGCTGCACAAGCATGCAGTAGGCAGTTGGTGCTGTGCAGAAAGTGGTTATGGGATATCTTGACAGTGTCTAGAAAAAATAAAAATTGCAAAGTTACCATAGTAAAGGAAAAGGACGGATTAGGGCCCGATCCTGCAAACATATGAGTGGCTAATAGGACGAGCAACACCATAGAAAACACCATCCTGTTCTGTTTTGTTCTATTCCATTCAGTTCCTAGACTGTACCTACTACTGTGGTACTGGCGTGTCTAAAATTTACATGTAGTGGCCAAACTTACAGTGGGGAAAAGCCATGGACTTGAAAAGAGGGGAAGAGTTTGGCCCTTCTCTTCATTAAGAAAAACCAGTAATGTCTCAGGAGCTGTACCATTCAGCCCTGTTGCTATAGCAATCACAAGTACTCACCCACAAACAATCTTGAGGAGATTAATGATCACACTGAATATCAGGGCTGCTAATTACTTCCCAGGGCTACTACAGTCTAGATTCAAGGAAAACCCTGTTAATTGGCAGCAATGGGACTGGGTGAGCCTTTCCCAGACTGCTATTTGAGAAAACAGGCTGGCCTGTCTACAGAAGATGCTGATGTGGAGGGGAGTGGGTGACGTGGCCGGCTTCCTTACACACAACAGGGAGATGTGGACCTGACAGTCACTATTTGAAAATCCAGGGTGAGAGGGAGCAGACAGGGCACTGCCTGCATAGGCAGTAAGTTATATGGGCCCATGGTGCCTGTGCTCCACCAATATCCAGGAACGTGGGCCTGGCTGTACCAGTGTTTGGGCTGCTATTTTCAGAGCCATCTTGTCCATCGGATGGGCCAGGCAACTGCTCCAGGCTCAGTGCATTCGGGGCACTGAACTTCAGGGGACCCAGAGTCCAGAGCAGCAGAGGGTTTAGCAGGAGGCCTGACACCAGCAGCAGTGAGCAATCTGGCCCCAGTCTACTCTTTTCCTCAGTCCCTGTTCCTGTTCCACATTCTGCCCCCATCTTCACTCCACTCCTTCCCTCAAGCCCTGCCCTGCTTCTTTCTGGCCTCTCCACATTCCCTGGGGGCAATGCAGGGAGCGGGTGGGGTGGGGTGGGGTGAAGCAGAGCAAAGCGAGGCAGGCTGAGGCCGGGTTGCTCATTGCTTCTGGCACCAGCCCTCCCATTAACTTCCCAGGCCACCCTGGAACCTGTGTCCCTTCTGAAGTGCGGGCCTGGGGCAGTTGCTCCTGTCTATCCCTTGGACAGGGAGGTTCTGCTTAGACTCAACCTAGACATCACCAAAAATTATACAAACCTGGCACCCATGATTGCCTGCCCCTTTCCTCAGAAGGCACCAAATATAAGTGCAGTTGGAGCTGTTGAGGGGAAGTGCTATGTCAGAGGGCCAGCGAGTACTGGATTCTGAATTGTCTGGGTCTGCTTAAATTGTGCAAAATAGAAATACAGTCCGCAGTGTGAATTGGTATTCTTACATTCGCGACAGTTGCTGGTTCAAACTGCGGCATGTAGTGTATAAAGACACACGACCCGCAACTCCAGGGGGAAAAAAGGCTGCTCCAGGCTGACTTGACCCAGCCTGTGTCCGACGTGTTCCAGAATATATCTAAGGGAGTCAGATTCAGCCAGTACCTGATAATGCAGAGGGAAAGAATTTATTTACTGACAGAGGCTGCCGCATGCAGCACAAGAGAGTAGAATGCAAGTTACAGGATAATAAGGAAAAAGGCCTGGAGGCCTCATTTAGAAGATGTGTCAATGAACCGAGTTCACTGAATAGCACAAAATTCATAAAAAACAAAATTTGAATGCACAGACCCTTCCTTCCTTCATCACCCATCTTTTTTCTTTCCCGCTCTCTTTTCACATTGACTGTTTTCTTCTAAAATGTGTCATTTACAGCAGTGGACTCAGCTCAAAAGCCTGGATCTAAATCTAGAGAACGGAATGCACCATTTGGAGGTTCCCCCACACCTAGATCAGCTAAATCACAGGCTCTTTCTCTAGGAGTCTGAAGGAAATGGCTTCTCCTGACTCAGTCATGTAGTTATCAATAAGGTTGAAATGCAAAATACAAAGAGAAGCTTCAGAATGATAGGTACCCAGACAGGGCTGCTTCAAAGCTCACTGAAGTCCACAGGGGTGTTTCAGGACTAGGGTGCATAAGAAGTTTGCATCAAGGCTTCATTAATACAGATCATTCTCCAAACATGTCTGATCCTAAGTGCACCTGAGATTCAACTCAAGTAGTTAGCAGTGGCTCTGATATTCTCCATATATGATGTTCAGGACCAATGTTCTTTTGCATAACAGATTTAACTTGATTTCCAGAGGTGCTCTCAGTGGCCATCATTAGTACCTGAATGCTCCATACTTTTGGAGACCTCTGAACATGACTGTGTTTTCTGCTTGTGTTGTCTGACATGTGTGTCAGTTTTTATTTCAGTTAAAAGAATATTCCAATATTGTGCAATAGCTGGAAATGAAGGTAATGCTGATATAAACAGAAGAAAGACATGGGCCAATATCTCTTCTTCACTCAAGCAGTGATAATTTGGGGGGGGGGGACATTTGGCACTGTGATTAGTGAGATTTCTAAAATGTTCATAAAATGTCACTCTCCTTATGAAGCAAAAATCAAGAGGCAAGATCTTTGGTTGGTGTAAATCAGCACAGAGACATTGGTTTCAAACAAGCTGTGACAATTTACACCAGTTGAGGATCTGGCTCAGGAAACTTTTGTTTTAAAGAAATGCCCATGTGCTATTGAAAAACAGCTTTATCCTGGTTTTTTTTGTTTTTTTTTGTTTTTTGGCAAGTGGAATAGGCACTTCCCCTTCCCCTTAGGCGACAAATCATTATTACTGATGATCTGAATTGCAATTTCTAGCTGCAGAAAACTTTTTAGTGTGGTTTTAAGGGAGGAAAGCAGGTTTCTTTTGTTACTGAAAGACCCAATTTTGTAAGATTTATACTGTCACTGCCTCCTTCCTCTTTGACAAGGGATCTTGTCACTAAGCCAGTCTTGGACCAGTTATGGGTTATACCTGCCACTGACTGTGAAGCCTAGGCCGTAACTGCTGTGGGAATGTTCAACCATTTTGGGAGGTCCTGTGCTTCCACTGGTAAAATAGATAAGCATTGGGTCTTGACTCTTTGTCTTGATGCAGTTATGGTCAGCAGGTGCCACCCTGTGGAACACATAATACTGGACAGTCATTATATGCACTTCTTTGAAAAGAGCCCACAATAGTTGCTAGGGTTCAGATAGTGACAGAACAACACTGGGTTCAGTTACTAGTCTTACAAAATAAACAACAGCACCAGTTATGGCTCTGGAGAATACAGCAATACAGACCAACTGGGGTTTCTGTTGTTCACATGTCTATGTAGGAGCTCATGGGATCTAAGATGTGAGAATGAACAGTATATTCTTGTGGCTTTCTCTATAATTACTTGCTAAGAGCTGTGCCAGGGCTCAGTGTTGAACAGCACTTAAAAATAGTCACAAACCCACAGAGCTCACAGTCTAAGGTTCTGAGCCAAAGTCCAGTGAAGTCAAGAGGATCTTTCTTTCTGCTGACTTCAGTGGGCTTTGGATTGGACTTTGAAAGATAGGCACAGAAAAGATAAATTGCAAAGGGAGGCTTCAGGGTGGTAATTGCTCTAGTAACCTCTCTTCTGTGGGCATTGTAGAACTAGTAGCACACTGTGAGAAGGCTGTGGCCTAACAAGGGGGTGGGTAGGTTGTCTGTCTGCCTGTCTCTCTCTCACACACACGACACTGGTTGTTTTGACAGAATGGAGTATGGGGGAACATGCAAAGACAGAGAGTCTCAGGCACAGGCCAGGAGCGGGCCCTGAAGGTAAGCATGAGAAATTGAAGTAAATGTAGTAACTAGAATGAGCTAGTGGAGGGATGGTGACACTTTTTATACACATCTTCCAAGGAGAGCAGTGGAGGCAGAAAACCTAACTGGTTTCAAGGCTGAGCTTGATACTTCTATGAAGGGGACGGCTAGGGCCGGATTAAGGGGGGGACTAGCCAGGCAACTGCCCGGGGCGCCAACCTATGAGGGGCACCTGATGGCAGCTGTAAGGGGCACCACGTGCCCAGGGCTGGGGGCTGCACAGTGCCCCTTAGAGCTGCTATCAGGAGCCACACAGCCCCTGGCCCTGGGCACGCGGTGCCTGATGGCAGCTCTAAGGGGCGCAGTATGCAGGGGCCGTGCATGCGCTGTGCGCCTGGGGGCAGACTCTTAGCCTATGAGTCTCTGCTGGAAATGGATTATAAAGTGAAGGATATTTCATCAGTTTAGCAACATCATCTAACTGACACACGTTGCTTTTGCTTAATCTCGTGGGGCATTGCTAAAACAGCCAATACCTACTTGAGTAGCTCTTTGAAGTTCAGCCACCCATCCCTGCTGCATTCAGAAACGATTAGCTTGGTTTTCAGAAACTGGCAATCAGGCGAGACAGAATCCACTGTAGGCGCCAGCGTATCATTGGTTATGATGCACTTGGCCTTCGAAGCCTGGAGTCTATAGAAAATGTCTTTGGCTGTTAATTGGGATGTCCCTGGAATAAAGACAATTCCTAGACAAGAAAAACAACATTATATTCTAAATTGTGGATACATTTTTAAAATGTTTTCAGCAAGATGACAGTAAGCACCCCAGCCACAGAGAAATGGACTCACTTTGAATGATCCCACTCCTCAAGGAATGCACAGGAAGGTCATATTGACGGTTTGAAGGTGAAGTCCATGTTAAGAATGAATAAGCAACCATTTTACATTGTGACTGGAGATGGGCCTGAGTTACCAAATCTCAGTGAAGAGCTTGAGTACCTCAAAATTGAGGATGTTTAGATCTGGGGTTTGCTGCAGCCTGTTTAAGAGTGCCTGGTGTATCTTTCATGTGACAGTCCTTTTAGTACACCGCACAATGCTACTAGCCTTTGTCACAACAGCATCCCATTGTTGGCTCATCTTTAATTTGACATCCACCATAACACCCTCATCCTTTTCAGCAGTACTGTTGCCTCGCCAGAGATTCTCCATTTTGTATTTATACATTGGAGTTTTCTTCCTTTGCACTTGTCTTTGCTGAATTTCACCTTGTTAATTCAAATCCACCCTCAAATTTATCATGGCCTTTTGAATTGCCATCCCATCTTCCAAAATGCTCGCGACCCCTTCCAGAGACAGATTTTCTAAGCACACTGTCCACTCCATTATCCAAGTCATAAATAAAAAACATTGGCTTGTTCTGGACCCAGGACAGATTGGTTCTACTCACTATGTTCACCGATGAATCGGATGATGGAGTGGACAGCATGCTTAGAAAATGTGCAGATGGCACAACATTTGCAAAATTATAACAGCAATGTGTTACCCCAAATTGTTTAACTGTTTGGCTGTATTGTATTGATTTATACCTTCAGTTATACTATAATTGGCCAAATATGGTTTTTAACTGAAGCCACTGCAGGTTGCATGGCTGTAATGGAGAGCTCCATATTTGTACAGCAGCATTCACAGTGGGGTCTTGGTCTATGACTGGGGTTCTAAGGTACTACCGCAGTACAAATCTCTCTATATACATATAAAAAAATTTCCTGCAGGATGACAGAGTGATGTCATCATGTCACTCTGCATCCCACCTGCCTCCTCCCTCCCTCCCCTCTCCTCGGCAGCCGGGGAGAGCCGGGGCTGGCATGCTGTGACCCCTTCCACTCTGGCAGCTGTGGGGAGAGAGTAGGGGCTGGACTGGCCTTGGCCTGGTGGCTGGGGAAGGCGTGAAGGGGCAAGCCGGGGCTGCTGGGGGCAGGGTCGGCGAGCATAGCGAGCAGGATGCGCAGCCCTCTAGTTAATTATTATTATTAGGCACATTGTCTTAGCAATTCATTAATTTACATACTTTAAGGAATAATGTTGAGATTTTCAGAGCTCTTTGGTTTGTTTTCTTTCTGCACTGCATTCAGCCATATCCAAATATTTTTACTGACCTGTTCGCATACAAGCCACATTCAGTATCCACCACTCTGGTATCCGAGGTAGAATCACTATAACTCGGTCTCCTTTTTGCAATCCACATGGGTCAGACAGCACATTGGCTCCTTTTCTGGATAGAAATCCCAGCTCTTCAAAGCTCCACTTCACCTCATCTCCCTTATCATTAATCCACCAGAAAGCTGCAATTGCAGATCTCTTCCCATCCTAGCAAAAACTTCACAAAGTTAAAATAAGAAGGCATATATGAAGTGGTCTAATACAAATCATAACCCAAAGGCTCAGTTCTGGTCATTTCAAGTGTATTGGGGAGTTCACTATGGCAATTCAGGCTAACCCTTGTGTATGTGTCACACATAGTTTTCTGCTCCCATATCTTTCTATCTAGATGGCATCTCAGATGTGTTTGCTTTCATACTCACATACTAACCAATGGAAGTGCTGCTATTAACAACACCTGTGAAAGAACAGTGCTTATGCTCCTCTGAGTCAGAGCTGCAGAGAATGCCACAAAAGTCAGGAGAGTGCAAGGATGAGCTTTACATCACCTCTGTACCCATCCCAAATAATGCATTTCAACCAGATCCAGATCCTACTGTCACCTAGTATAGACTTTAAGGCCAGAAGGAGCCATTATGATCATCTACTCTGACGTTCAGAAAGAGCAAGAACAAGGACTTACACGTGACTCCTGGGCTGATCCTTTATTGTTACAGAGAGAGAGAGTGAGAACTCAAGGTGTCTCTACTATAAAAAGGCAAATTATCTTTTGTAGCTGTCACCTTAAAGATGCAAAGATTTCTGAGACAAAAAAGATCAGTTTTTAGCAGGTGTAAATCCATATAGCTCTAATATAATTGATTTAAACCACCTGAGGAGCTGACCCAATAGCTAAGATGTAAAAGAACAGATACCTTTTCCAGCTGCGACCATTTGTCTAGGATGTCACTTGCAAAGTTGAAGTAATCTGGCAGTTCCTCTTTACACCGATTTATAGATTCATAGTGCGAAACCATCGGAGACACAAGACACCTGTTATCTTTGTGGAATAATCTAGAAGGTGACTGCGGAATCCACAAGGATTGCAGAATTCGTAATTTAAATAAAATCTTCATGATGGTTGCTTATCCAACTATGTGAAAAAGTCAGTGGATATCCGTGGGGGATCATTCATCTGCAATGGAAAAAATAAACAACAAAACCCAACAACCACATCCTAAAAGCTGTCTAATAAGCATAGGTGAATAAATTAATGCAATCAGAACACAAATTATGGACAATCTGTGTCCTTACTTGATTTCCTCTTATTGTTAACTGACATTGTCTACCTCATTATCTGGCTATATTGACTCTCTCCTCAGACCCTATGCTACCAGAACTCCTAGCTACCTTCGTGACACCACCGACTTCCTGAAGAAACTACAAAACATCAGTAATCTAGCTGAAAATACCATCCTGGCCACCATGGACACAGAAGCCTTTTACTTCAATATTCCACATGAAGAGGGATTACACACTATCAGGAACACCATCCCCGATGACACCACTGCACACCTGATTACAGAGCTCTGCGACTTTGTCCTCACCCACAACTACTTCCAATTTGGAGACAATCTGTATCTTCAAGTCAGTGGCACAGTCATAGGCATTTGCATGGCACCACAATATGCCACCATCTTTATGGCTGCCCTTGAACAATGTTTCCTCAGCTGTCACTCCCTAACATCCTTACTCTACTTACACTACATCGATGACATGTTCATCATATGGGCCCATGAGAAGCTTATCTACTCAATGTCTCTTTTTAATTCCTCCCCTCCATTTTTTTTCCTTCTCTTCCCCCTCCCCTCCACCACCCTTATTTATTCTTGGATCTGGACTTCCAACATTCCGGTCATCTGAAGAAGTGGGCTATGCCCACGAAAGCTCATAATACCATCTACATGTTTTGTTAGTCTTTAAGGTGCTACTAGACTATTTGTTGTTTTTTAAGTTTTTCCTGTTATACATTAGACTACCATGTGAAGCTTTTAATTATTGTGAGCTTATAAATAATTACAGTGGCATTTTTCATTAGTGTATGTTATCATCAGCATTATCAAGCAGTGAGTACAACAAACACTTCACTTTCTCTTTGCTCTCTTCTGGCCTGATTCTCTATTCATATCAGTTTTACACCAGTGGAATTCCACTGAGTTCAGTGGAGTTACTCCTGATTTACCCTGGTGGAACAGATGTTGTCATGCTTTTCATGGATGATTTAGCTGCTTGTGGAAAAGTGATAACAAAACTGGACAGTGCCATCAGCTGGAAACTGTGTGGTTCACAGCACCTGTAGATTACACAGTGACACTGTGGAGACCACAAGTCCTTACGTTAGCTATACATTTCAAATTACACCATCACACTAAAAGTAGCTTATATGATTTTGCTATTCCCTAAACAGACACTAGATGGCAATTCTACACTGAACACCACAGACTAATAAAAATGCTGACAACTCTTTACATTTGTATATTGTACTTCTCTCCAGTTCTATTTTCTTTATAGCGTCAGAAGTTAATACATCATTCCATTTTAGAGATGATTGTTTTATACATTTGAAAAGTTGTATTAATGCTGTTTTAAAGTTATCCATTATTTCTTTGAACAACTTATTTGGATAGCTTTATTTTTCACACAGTAAAGAGACACAATAAATCCACACTGTATCCACTTCTGCTGAAGGGACAAAAGGATGATGAAGATGGGATCTTCTTTAAAGACACCTGCTCCTTTCAGTCCAGATCAGGTGAATAACTTTTCAGAGATACATGTTGTTAGATATATTTTATATTTAAAGAAAAAAGAATTCTTAAAAGACAGTCACCCTCTCATTTGTCTGATCCGAGCTGAATAGTGCATATGATCTTAGAGTACAGATGGACTGATGATACTGATGTTACTCAAACCTAGATTTGGATGTCAAGAAACTCAAAGTTCTAATCATGGCTTTGCCACAGACTTCCAGTGTGACTGTAGGCAAATCACTTTGGCATTGATCCAACTCCACGGAAGTCAATGGAAAAGCTTCCATTGATTTCAGTGCAGTTGGACAGGTAAAATGGGCAATATTACTTATTCACCATGAGGCTAAGTAAACTGCTGTTTTTGTGTTGCAAGCCTTAGCTGGAAGGCGATAACTTTTTTTACCAAGTTTTTTACCAAGGTATCAATAATAGTAATAATAATAACATACATAAATAACTTTAACCCCTCTTTTTCTGCATTTGATCTCAAAAGGAATGTTTAAAATATCAAAATACATGGGGCACTGGAGGGAGGTCAATACAGATGGGGCCCAAGTGTCTGCATGTTGCATTTAACTCATATCCCAAAAAGGGTATCACATTTTAATGTGAATGGCCATATAACTTTACCTTTTTTTTTTACACCCCCCCCCCCCCCCAGTTCTGAGGCAGTGGGGATGGACCATCCTGGCTACAATTACACTGCATAGAACAGTGGTAGAAACTGATAGCTAACATTCCAGTTCTGCAGCATTTATTATTTCCCCAGTTCTCCAAAAACATAAAGCCCTATTTCCTAGAACTAGGGCTGTGCAAAAGCACTGACCATTTTTTGGGATTTTGTTGTGAATGATTTTTACACCCTTGAACTTTTAATTTTTTTCGCAATTAAAATGGATTTTCTTCCCACCTGCCAACCTGGCCCTTGCTTCCTAAACTACTCTGCTTTACTCCACCTTCCTTCCATCACTTTGAGGTGAACAGCCCTTCACAACATACTGTGAATTCACTGATAACGGGTCTTCATGAAGGGATTTAGGTTATTTATTATTTGTTTCAGTGGCAGACAGAGAAAAATAACTGTTTGAACAAATGACCTTGTCATTGTAGGTTTATTACTTAGGAGGCCAGGGCTGTGTTCTGAGATAACTACTGAAAGGATGTTCATCTCAGATAGCCTATGCAGATCTTGTCATATTCTTAGATACTTTTTCATCCCCTGGATGCCACTTATAAAATAACTTTGAAAAGAGCAGATTCTGGAAAAGCACAACCAAAGTCAAGCTGACCTTTTCCTAGTTTTGGTCAGTTCTTACAAAATCCTTTTGCATTTGTTGATTTAGCAACAATCTTTATATATAGTCATATCTTGCCATCAAGTTGTACACACATCTCCAGTTATTTCACTACAAGTCCCATGTGTGTGATAAGAGAATATGGTTCCAGCTGCATTAAAATCCCTGATTCAAAACCCACTGAAGTCAATGGAATCTCTCTATGGACTTCACTGGCTTCAAATCAGGACAAACAATGCCAAAGAGAAAATACAGTTACAGCATAGTCTAGCATTTCTATTTAATTATTTGCTAAAATGGAAGATATAATCTCAGACATTATTTTTTTAAAAATGTGACTAGTTCCTCCAGAACTTGAATTTTATATTGTTATTGATCTGCATAAGTCACTAACATCTGTATCACCATTTACAGGTGTGCCATTGCATTTCTTTGTAGGCTGGTAATTAATAGCTTATAATGAACAATTTTGATTTGTGCTTTGAATAAGGGTAACATCCCTTTATGCAATATTATCCATCCCTTTTTCTCAAGGTGCTCCCCAAAGGAAGGTAAGTAGCATTATCATCACCCTATAGAAGGAGAAGCTAACGTATAGAGGAGTGAAGTGACTTTTCTAAGGGCACTGATCAGAACAATAGCAGAATTAAGACTGGAAACAAAGCCTGTTGAGGCACTTTGTGACTTAGCCACTGGATCACATCTTCCTTCCCCAACACTCCTTCCTATATTTTCATGTTCTCCCTTTCTTATTCTCATTGATTCCCAGACAATGAGAGCTGCAGAGCTGCTGCTAGAGGTATGTGGAGCCCCAAATAGAAGCCATAGCAGGGACATGCTCTGCTTCCAGGAGTTGTGTGGACCCATGGTATGTATGGAGCACAGCAAGCCGTCAACCTCACTCCCCAGTGGGACCCTGAGGGCCAGATTAAAAGACCTAATGGACTGGGCATGGCCCACAGGCCAAAGTTTACTCACCCCTGCTCTATATCCAGGAGTAAATGGATCTCTTACAACAGGTTTCCTGATTTTCTCAGAAATGGTACCATCCTCCCCTTTGAATGACTACTTTAAGAAAATAAATTACATTGGTGAAGACACCATTCAGTACTAGTCCCAAGAAAGAAATGGCCATCTGTACCCTGAAAATGTCCGTAGGTCTCCCCTGCAGAAACTGTTATTTTGGCCTGTATGCTACACTGCACTCTAGTTAATAATCTCAGAAAAGGTTCTTAGGAATGTACAAGCATGCTTCTTTTTTAGTTACCACGGGGCAAAGCGTGAATGGCAGCTGCTTAATCTTTTTGTACAGATATTCTTCAACATGTTCTGAAAAGGGTAGCCACATATGCAGTTAGCCACATATGCAGTGTATAGAACTTTTAATAGTTCACAGTAAACATGCTCACAATTTACAGAGTGCTTGCCCCTTTAAAGGGCTATGGAGGCATCAGCTAATTACTATAGGCCAGATGTGGCTACCTGTTCTCATTGTAGATGAAATTCTGCCTCTGCTGAAGTCAATAGCAAAACTCCATTGGATGATTACAGTGGAGTCAAGATTTCAACCACTGAGGCTTTGTCTATATAGATTGAATCTCTGGAGTCCGGCACTCTCTAGACCAGCAACAGCCATGGTCTGGCATGATTTTAGTTAGCCAGATGTCCACTTATTACAGGTGTGGCCAAGTTTCCCACCATCCCATAAAGTTTGTTTACAGCCACCAGTCCTGGTTCTCAGTGTTCTGTGCTGTTATTTAGCTCTAACTTACCCCTAAATGTTTTCTAAGAGTCCAGTAAGCAGTGGAAGTGTTGTAATGCTGCTAGCCAATATTGACCTCCCACGATTCGGCAAATTCTCTGGTTCATCACTGGTCAGGTCCTGAGGGTGCTGGACTAGAGAGATTCAACCTGTACTTAAAAATTTAAAGCACATCCATGACAGTGCTTTAAACTGAATATGTGGCCACAGCATGAGCACTGGGAAAGAGCTCTCCCAGCACTCTAGGGGTATGTCTGCACTGCAACACTATTTTGGGATACTGGAGTATCCCGAAATAGCTATCCCACATCTTCACAGCAAGCCCATTATTTCGGACTCACTATTCCGATGTCCCTGTAAACCTCATTCTATGAGGAATAAGGGATGTTTCGGAATAGCACTTTATTTCAAAATTTTGAAATAGCATCATGATAAGATACGTCATTTGAGCGTATCTTATTTGTGTTTCTTATTTAGTTTCTTATTGCATTTCTTATTTCGAGTTACAGTGCAGTGCAGACGCACTCTAGGCAAACCACTTCCACAAGGAGAGTTACTAATAGCACTGAAAGTGTGGCTCCCAATGTTGTTGCCTGGTTCATATTGGTGCTTTACAGCTCTGCAACTTGCTGTGCTTGGCAGGTGTGTGTGTTTTTTCATACCCCTGAGCCAGAAAGTTACAGTGCTGTAAAGTGCCAGTGTAGACTTAGCCTGAGTTGTTTCTTACTTGGGATATGATCCAATAGCCTTGTAAATCAATGGGAGTCTTTCTACTGAAGTCACTGGGGTCTGGATCATAGTAAGCAGTCCTATTAGTAGAATAGATGACCAAATATAATCCTTAAAGAGTCATCAAGGATCCCTTATGTTTGTGTGTGCCTATGTTCCATTCTCAACATCAGTTCTGGGTAAAGTTGATGACTGCTGACATTCTGTACATTAACCCAATCTCACATCTCTATAACCAAGCTTTATTC